GCTGATTGTTTGGTGGCATGCAGCTCTACTCACGCTTCCACATTCCTGTTGCCTCTTTTCAAAGTGGGGACTATTGTGAAGCTGGTGATTATGATGCAAATTCAGTCTTTTCATTTTTGGGCTACACACAAAGACAATTACCATATATACAAGAGCCAGGGTCTGCCTTCTTTCACCGTGTTCGCTCGAGCGTGGGCCAAGAGTAATAGCTGAAAAGCGGGCTGAGGATCTCAATTTTTACGGCGTGTTTAGGCGCCTCCCGGCGCGAAGGGGTTAAAACTTTCTTTGCCAGTAATGTAACATTTGTGTTATGCAAGTACTAACAATAAGCTCTTTCACCTAGACTCGGTGTATGGAGCACTTTCACATGGAACCCATGGTCCAAAACAGTTAATATTGAAGTTAGATTAGTGCGATAATAACACATTTTTCTCCCTTTGACTTTGCAGCCCAAGTTTATCCCTGAATTTATAAAGTGAGTATTTTTGTAGATACTTCAATGCCATTTTATCGTAAAATGGGTGAAAAATTATTGTTTTGGTAGCGAACTTCTTAAGGTTGAACTTTAAAGGGATGGTTCTTGTTTAAGAAGGAAATTCTCCTTGAAATTTACTTCACTCAGTCGTCTTTTTCATGGTTATTTTTAAACCTTTGCTAAACAGAGACTCACCTATGACAAGATCATTTGCAAGAAGCCAAAAGCACAACACCCATTCCTTTTCATGCTCTTTCTTCATCCTAATTGATATTTGTGTGGAATATGTGTTCTTAATGTAGAAAACAACAAGAGAGAGATTATGATGTTGTATCAGGCACTCGCTACGCTGGCTCAGGAGGTGTTTATGGATGGGACTTCAAGAGAAAACTGATAAGGTGAGCAGAGAGAATAATGTCTGTTCAGGTGTTTCACAGGACCACAAAAGAAATCTGTCTTTGATTTCAAAATTGATTCTATATTTTGATCAGCTGAGAAGATGCTCAGAAAATAAAATATAAAATTGTATTGGCATATGGTCATTAGTAAGATTTTTTAACCATTCAGTTATTTAATATAAATGATGCATTCACATCACCCTCTTGATTTGGAAGATATCTTCTCTATGTATTCTAGATAAAGTAATTGAAGTGGTTGATTTTTTTATCTGATCTTGTTTTGGTTTTTTTTTTCTCTCCAGTCGGGGAGCAAATTACTTGACACAGATCCTTCTTAGACCCGGTGCAACTGACCTTACAGGAAGTTTCAGGTAAAACACTCTTGACTGCATCCAAATTCTCATGCCACCGGCTAGTCTTCTGTTGCAGTAAATACCACTAGACAAAAAATCTCCTCTTGTGGCTTATGTTCAAAATACATTTTTCCGGGTATTTTAATGCCCTAAACAAGTTCTTTTCCCGATTTGATTGTCAAGTTATAGGAACTGATGCATTTAGTGATGATGATGGTTTCTTTGCATGTCAAGGTTATACAAAAAGCCTATTCTACAGAGACTGATTGAGGCCTGTGTCTCCAAAGGCTACGTCTTCCAAATGGAGATGATCGTGAGGGCGCGACAGTTCAACTACAGCATAGGAGAGGTATGGAAAATGAAGACGAGATAATGACACAAAAGCATTTTCAGTGAACCATTCCAGATGAGGCCTGCTGAAAAGGAGTTCTGTTTCATGGCTCTTCCAACAATTGGATTCTGCACTCATGGTCACCACTTTGTGTTGACATCAAAGCTCAGAAGTTTGGGTTGATTCCTAAAGCACAGAATTTGTTTTTAAATAGTTCCGGGATGTGGTTGTATGCATATAAGCTAAAATGCTTTTGTGAGGTACAAAAATGTGCTTACTGTTGACATAGAATTTCTCTGGTGCTAGCAGTGTTTTTCCGCTTGCAGTTAGCAAAGCCATGGCATTGGACCAAATTCATATTTGCTTGTGGGATGTCTTTAAAAAAAACACCTTATTTTTGTTTTCAGTTCTCCCAATTTTTGTGCTTTTAGAAATTGATAAAAATGTCACATTATTCAAGAGTACCTGGTGTAAATGATGTGGCAGTGCATTAAAGGGGAGTTTATGTGAACATTTGAAATGCCTGGTGATCATGTGGCATCAATGTGTAAACAGTTGTTGCAACCAATCACTAGACCAGGATCACTGAGTATTTTGCTTGTTTTCATTTCTTCTGTAGGTTCCAATCACCTTTGTCGACCGTGTATATGGGGAATCCAAGCTTGGCGGAAATGAGATCATTGGCTTTGCCAAGGGTTTGCTGATGCTGTTTGCAACAACATAGGTCTTGGATCATCCTCTGCAGAGTTTGTACACATTCTTCCTGGACTGTGACAATGGAATAATCTGCTCCGTGGAGTAGTATCCTGCATAAATTGTCAGTGTGCTCATGTGTTGTGGAATATTTGGAGGACTGAGAGCTTTGGCCACCTTTATCGTGTTATAAGGGGTTAATGTGGTTTCATTACCAAAAAGATTAAGGACTTGGGTCAGGAGGGCTTGTCTTGGGCAGTGGAGGGACCCAAAGGGGATGAAGGTGTCTTATAGGGACCATTCCATCGCACACTACATGTCTTGTCTTGGCTATTTTGGCAGCCTTATGTTTGGGGTAGTGGAGAGAAAGAAGACACTATGGATTGAAACATGCCCCCAGTCCCTCTTACCCTGGTTACATCACCTTTTTGAAGCAATGAAAAGCCACCTGGCTTCCCACTTAATTCTCCTCTGCCTAATCAGTCAACTGTTCCTCTCACTGATGTAAAGATTTTCTTCACAAGAAGGTGTAATTGTATGTCAAATCTATCAACAGTCATTTTGACCCATTTCTCACGTAATTTCTAAACAATTGTCTCTACCACTTTACATTTTAATTATTGTTCAGTCAAGGAGAAATGCTCTTATTTCTTCAAGGTTCAGTGGATAAGAATAATACGCTCATGGTCAGAAACCGTCTGGGAAAACAACTGTACATCCCTACTGGATAGACCACACTTACTGTAACATTTAATTGTCATGATATTTTTTAAGTACATGTAGTGAAAATTACCCCCACCCCCATTGTCCATGTAGCCCTACTACTAGGGTATCTGTCTCCATTTTTTTCCTTTAATTAAAAGCTCTACAGCCAAACTAATCTGAAAACTTCATTTGAAATTGTGCCAAATGGAGAAATAAAATGCACTTAACAAGCCAAATTTGAATTTGTGAAGCAGAATTCTGTGAAGATTTCAGACAGTTTCTCAACCCTCTTTCTTTTTCTTTTTTTTTCATTTTTCTTTTCTTTTTTTTTTTTGCGAATGTCAAAATTTTTTAATCCTTAGATCCGGTGTAGCAGTCTCAGCTGTCTCCCGGTCTCAGCGGTCCCCTTAGCTAATAGGGTAAAATACCGCATGCTATCTCTGCACACAACGGGAAAGTCGTCCATTTAATGTGCGGCTATTCAGGGGGGACCACTGAGACCGGGAGACAGCTGAGACCGCCACACCAGGAAGGTGGTAGTACTGTTCCGGTAGTGCTGGCGTTGTAAAATCCTTGAAAAAAGGGCAACATCTCTCAGGATCCCCCCTCTGCCGCTACTGGTATGCTACTGGTTTTCCTTTGAAAGAAATATCCCAAACTTTCACCGTGAGGGAAAATGTGAACCAGACGGTAAATGAACGGCCACGATTTAGCACCGTTTAGTTGGTGTCCGTTCAGCAAATGTGAAGTAAATTTAAGCGCTGCAGTTAAAACTGGTCAGTTTTCTCCATTTTGTGCGCCTGATAACCCAACTTAGTAGCTTCTCAAGGTCATACTCGTATCAATCTCATGACATCTTAAACTGGACAGTGATTTTGAGCGAAATCATTTTGAGTGCGAAGCCTTCACTGCCACGGCTGTCGATCATGCAGGCTGTTTGCCAATGATTTTCTCCATTATAGGTTTTTGAGGGATAACAATTTGACACGTGAATAGACGTGATTCACAACGACGACATTTTGTTGGAGAAAAAAAACATAAAGTGATGGTTTAGTTTTGTTATCCAATCGAACCCATTGCAAGAGCTATATTAACATCACTCAGTAATTTGTGCGGTTTTGGCTTTTTCCCTGATGCTGACATATATTCATAACACTGTGTACTCTCTGTTGTCCGAGAGCTCGCACAAGAATTCAGGAGCTTATTTGGATGAGAGTCGAACCCACGTCCTCTTACTTACAATGCAGACGTTTGGACAAGCGATCGATGGTCGATTCTTGACCAATGAACTTGCCGGGAGCGGCCACCCGGTTCGATTCGCATGATGAGTCGATGTACCGTGCGTGGAGGATATAATGTTCGTTTATTAAATTGTGGACCTTGCCCATACACCGACGTACGGCGTCATTATTCTCGTCTTTTGCTGGAAGTGTATTTGATGAAGCATGGAAACTTTGTAAAATGTCACAAAGAATGAGTGCATACGCGTAAGAAACAGAAGTCTCGACCAACCGGCCCTTCAGACAAATTTATATTTGTGGCCTAAAGTCGCGCACCCCGAACAAAATTTTAGCCCCACGCGTACGTCAAACCTTGTACGACGAACGACTTGACATGCGATCGAGTTGGTATAACCGTCGAGTTAATTGGCGGACGGTTGAGTTGCCGTGGTAAGAGTCAAGTTGAGCAAACGGTCAAGTTGATAGTCATCCATCAAGCAAAATTAGTCTAAATTATTAACTTTAATTCCTGACAAAACCTTTCGAAAACTCACGAAATAAGAAAGGGGAGAAAATATAGATACTGTTACTGGAATAACAAAACCACACGACATGGCTAACCTGCTTGCAAACATTTTGATTTAAACATCCCATACACAATTACTTTGTAAGCCGCCTCCCGGCATGAGCTCCATTTTATGGATTTCAGTGCTCTCTCAAATGAAACCTATGCTGTTCAACAGAATCGTAAAGTGTAAAAAGTAGGCCTACTACACGCAACTCCCTACATGCTATCTCCTATCATTTATTTGGAATTATGATTGAAAAAAAGGCTAAAATTGCATCAGTAATGGGCCTGTCTGCACCAACACAAGCACCTAGAGTAAAAATTTTTTAGCAGGGGTCATTCGAAAGGTGGTTATAAAGTTATCGACATTTGGCCTAACGACATCGACAAAGTACAGCAACATCAAACTGTTTAAAGATGGCAGGTCATGCATTCGGCTAGAACAATAATAAATATTAGGTTGGATCGTAAATTGACGGACTTTTTCTCGCTACTTCCCCATCGCACCAGTTATCCAATTGATTAGTTTGTTACTGAGGCCAATTTGGCCAATATTAATCAAGTAAAGACCCGAAGTGACTGAAATGCCTACAACAGGGGGCGCTGTCTATCGGATGTGGCGCCTTGTCATATCATAGTAATCAGGACATAATGCAGCTGTGGGAACCTTAGGTTGAGAACCTTATGTTGACTTGCCCTGGAAAATAGCTTTGCAAATTAACTACGACACATCGGAGACACCACAGGAAACCTTCTCGCTCTCTGTTCTTTTAGCTTCAGGAACAGTCTTACTTTAAAAAAAAGTTAAAATGCTTGTGAAACTTCTTGGGGAACGTCCATAAGATAAGACATATAGCTTGAATGTTGTGCTCAAACAATAGTGCCCAGAAGACGGAAGTAAAACGAAGAAATGTTGGATTCCATACACTGCAGCGATATTTAGTAATATTAGCCTTTTCTTCAGTCGCTGAGAACTAAACTTAAATGCTGGCCTTCAATCGCATTTAGTCCGTACGATGACGGCCTGATGGGAAAAGGTCACATTTCTGTTGATGACTGATCACAACAATGCCCCCACTGAGGTCAGTTTCCCGTCTTGGGCAATGGGTTCCATTCTTTCTTTGTCACAGTCGTATTTTGCAGAGGAGGAAGGTTATCAACGTCTCTTCTCGATCTCCTGAGCCGATCTTAACCCATATCCATGTTTTATTCCCAAAGTACCTTTTGAGTCAAACAAGTTTTAAACATTTATTTCCAACGATCTTGTCTAACAGTTTTACTCTATGCTATGGTATGTCCCTCTCGTGAAAATTCAGTCTCTTTATATGGAGATTGGCGTGTACGTGGTGGCCTGTACCATGGAGGTATTTTTCTACCTCCATGCCGCTACTGAGTGGCGTAGAGCTAGTCCGTGTTTTAATCTAGTTTGTAGGCCTACGGTGGTTTAATCTAATCACCGTTAGAGACCTGCCACGTGATGGGCTTTCGAGCAATAGAAATGGCTAAACTGTCGTAAGTGCTTTTAAATAAAATGCAAAATGAAGACACAGTCCTGTATGAAAATAACACCAACCCATCTAACACCGACCAAGGGTTACATTTTTGCAAACTTTGGCTGCTCATTCGAACAGTAGGCAATATGAGAGCGGTCTGCCGCACAGAAAGCCATGGTACTAACTGGTCCGAGTCCGAGGCTGAACCTTTCCCCGAAAGACTGAGCATGGTATTTTACAGGCCTTCAAGAACTTAGGTACTATAACACTTCGAATACTTCGAACTTTGTCAACAGTGTGGGAAATAAATGCTCTCTTTGATTGAATAGAAAGGGGTCCAAAATCCATTTTTGACTGCAAAAATACTTTACGGAGTTAGCATCAATGGCCTATCCTAAAGGTGAGGATAAATATTCGTCATTTCCCGCTTTTTTTGAAGGAAGAGATGTGAAAGGTTTCCGCAAATCACTCTTTCTATCAAATCTCATTTCATTTATTTATGGGGAGGGGGTCAGCTATTGCTCACGCTCCCCTGAATGAATATTGTCAATGAGATCGTTGAGAAGGGTGAGAACACCCAGCTCCAAATATTTACTGAGAGCGTACAAAATATTCATAAATGAATAAAACAGCTACTGCATAAGAAATCTGAGCTTCAGCATTATATTAATAAGGCCTTTCATTTCCATCCTAAACAGAATCTTTCTCAAAAGGCAAAATGGTGCAAGTTTGGCCCGGTATATTTTGTTTAATGTGAAAGATTGTAAAGATACCCATGAGAAATCATGCAAAGATTTTTTTTCTGTTTACGCAGGAATCAAATAGCCTGTGCTTCTCAGTAAGGTTCACTCCCTTTCATTTGCATAATTTGACTAAATTATACCCTACCTGTAGAGGCACAATATTAGCCTGTCAGTATTAGCCAGTCTTAATACCATGCGATAACGACTCGAAAAGCGTCTATCTGCACCGCCTAGTGCGCTGAGTCACCTTCCAGTTCGTACACTACTAGTAGTGAGTATACTCAGTGCTAGTTATTTCCAGGTTTCACTTACAGTGCAGCTGCTTGTGGCATGACTACGGAGTCACACTCCTCATGTTCTCCTCCTCGATCGAGTGACTTCTAATCAGGTAAGATATTCACCTTTTCTCAAGAAACTTGCTGTGACATGATTTTTAGTGTAGTTTTCATTATGTGGTAAATTTATCGTCAAGGACTGTGTGCTCATGGCAGTATATTTAGGGTGTTATTCTTGTGACTTTTTTCCCGTATTGGTCGGTGCATCGAGGAATGAGAGTGCGGTGGTGCTACCGGCGCGGCCGCGCAGACGTGCAAAAAACATGTAGGCCCAATCCGTTACACACGTGTACGTGTGTATTTTGCAAGAGTTCAAGTTCGGTATGCCTGTTGAGCCGGCTCTGACATAGTCCAGATTCTGGCCGTTATGTGAAAGGTTAATGAGTTGAACATGGACAGTTATACTAGGCAAGCCTGTGCATGCCACTGCACAATTTCCATTGTGTGTGGGTTTTTTTGGGTACATTGGACAAAAACATTGTCCAGTCATGGAGGATTCCTTCCTCCATGGTCCAATCATGCCAATGCCATGAATGTGTTGCAATCAATAAGACGAAATGTACATCTGTTATATGTACCTGTCTCAGAATTTGAACAGTTAGGTTCCCCGACCATGCTGACAATCTTAAGCTACAGCATTCAGTAATAATAATATAAGCCAGTCAGAATCACCAGGTCCGGGGACCAAACTGAGACACATGGATCATGCCAGAGTAAACAAAGCGTGCAAAGCGCACACTGTCATCAGCTGTGGACGTGATTTGTTTTGGCTTTGTTGAAGCCAACAATAAAGTTTTCTCAGAGGGATGTCTGAAGGTTGTACTTTCATGTGCGTACTGCATGTATTTCCACATGGATACATGTGTATGAACCACTTCCACTGTAAGTTTCATGCACGTCATGTGGACAAATTTCCATTGTCTACAACGTTCACGTTTAGACCATTCTCATTTTGCCTACAACTTGTATGGATGGTCAAATTTTGAGGAAATATCACCCTTTGGTTGGTGTTTGATTTTATCTCCAGTTCCTTCAAGATGGACATTTATCTCATTGGTTTTGAATAGGGTTGTAATTTTCTTTCTTTTCTTGTGGGATTTTTAACGGTCATGCTATTTAGTGTCAACAAGCGTCAACAAGCATCAACACACACAAGTAGCTTCAACAACTTGAAAATACCCTCTACAGATTTAAAAGTGGTTTTATTATATTTTAGAGACTCTAACACTTGCCAAGGTATAAGAGAAACACCAAATTTGTTTCCAGATTCACGCAGGAAAATGAAAATTTTTTGTGATGTATGGGGGCCGCCATCTTTCTGTCTTTTGCCGTCCATGCGAAAACAAGATGGCGGCCGGTCGGACTGCACAAACAGGCCCGATTTTGTCACTCAAACTTCAACACTCAAGTATCATTTCAGATAGATATAATATATTGAGTTTGATATGTAGGATCCTAATTAACATTTTATATAAAAATCTTTGCATATGTATGCTAAGAATAACTTGTTGGCGCTCGATGACACTTGTTGACACTAAATAGCATGACCCATTTTTAACACTGTGTGAAAGATTCTTTTGTACTGACCGCCAAACATAGCTTTAGCACCCACTTGTAGGAAAAACACAACTGACATCAAAACAGCAGATCGTATACTGTACCATTAGGTCTCTCTCATAGGACGGCTACATGTATCTTCATTCAGTGCCATCAAGTGCATGTAGATGCAGTGTGTGTAGATGTTCTGTATGCGTGCCCATGCTGATCCAGGTATCTCTTAAAGATGGCACAGCCGATGTGCATCATGAAAATTTGATGTCCAAGATGCATGGCAATCTAGTAGGAAGAGATGTCATTTGAAAGAAACTGACTGGTATGGGCTGCTGCATGCAATAAATCATACAAGGTCCAGTTGTTGGGAGCAGATATACTTGGTTGAATAGTGTGCAGAAAAACTTCCACTTTATTAGTTACCCTGTGAAAATTATGGTATTTTGACTTAATATAGTGAGCGTAATGAGTATGTAGGACCTCATCAAATGAAGTAAGTATGTATGTATCTGCCACTACAGTAATGTAATAAGGTACATGCACATGTCTACAAAGTTACATGTAGGCAGTGAATGATAAGATAAGCAACTCTGCTAGATCCATGTGCAAGTAGGTTGGAAGCTTGTCGTCATAGATAAAATTTTGCTTTTCCTCCAAACTTTAGGTTAGACTTGAAAACAATCCCCCATAGAGTTAACAGATGGACTATCTCCCTGATTCCCATGATCTATTTAGCAGAACGCCTTGCACATTATTTTGTGCAGTTCCTCTGCCTCCCCCCCCCAAAAAAAAGCACAGTGAAGAATTTAACTTGTGTATCACAACAGGTCCACGTGTGTTACATTCAGGTGTCGACTGCTTTGATTAGGGTGGTCCTTACTTGACTCCATTGCTTTTCAGGCAGAGTCTTTGATGTGCTTCTCACAAGCAGAAAGTTCCAGACAACATATAAGCTGCTTTATTATAGGAACCTCTGCAGTCTTCTGATGACGGACAGAGCATATTGTCCGAAATGTTGAGTACCCTCTGGTTCCTTTCATAACCACACATACTCACAAGAGATGTACTTACATTATGCTACAGCAAACCTTTCCTTTATTTGCCACCTTCACCATGAAATGCTTCAAAGATAACGAGTTCCGCTTAGCTGAGGAATCCTTGCTTGACCGTGAACCCACCTCCCATTTGTCCTATGTTCCAGAATGGCCACCAACAGCCTCTACAAGAAGAAGCTGACGCCCCAAGAGGTGGCCAGCATCACCAAGATGCTGTCCATGGGCACCGTCATGACTCGTTTCTATGGGAAACGGAAACCAGAGAAGAGGTCCTTTGAAATCTGCATGGACACGCGGCAGATTCTGTGGAGGCGGCAGACAGGACGCACAGATGGAGCAGGTAAAATTCCGTTAAAAGGGAAGAGATATGAAGTAGAAATCTTTGACAGTGCACCTTTAGTGTTTTCCTTTATTCATTAATAGATTTTAATATACAATTTTTGTGTCAGACTGCTTGTATTCTGTAAATTTGGAGTTGATAGATTTCATTTTATGTACAAACTGTATCCTAGTCACTGTTTTTGGCAAGTTGGTTTTGAAGCTCCCTCAATCTACGTGGAAAGGTGTCTCATGCTATCATACCAGATAAAAATATCAGCTTGTTTAAGCTCCATTGAATGCGTCTGTCTTATCCGCTGTGAGTGGAACAAATAGGGTGTGTTTTTTTGGTACTCACATGTTGCATGTTGAGTTGGCGTAACTAATTTATTCTGGCTTGTATGGTCTTTGCGTACATGCAGAATGTGTGCAAGAACCCGCCTGTCTTTCTTTCGCCGATTGGGGGTGCACTTCAGCTCGGGGTGGATGTAGGTACATGTACTTGCAGAAATGTTCATCTGCAGATACATGTAGTTTTACAGTTGTATTCAGATTAGAATTTCATGTGGAATCTATAAGGCTCAAAAGGCAGCCAGAGCAAATTTCCTGTGATCGATCATAAGCATAAGCATACATGTACATGTAGATGTTTCAGCTGTGTGAAATGGTTTGTTGAAAACCTTGGGCATGTGCTGTACTTATTAGACTGTGTGTCTTGTGGTTCAGCATTGCATGAATGTGCTCAGGTTTAGCCCTATTGGGTCTATCATCACCTCAGCATGCTTGATGGAAAAGTGACATTGGACATCAACACTGGAAAATTTGCATTCAAGTCTTATACATGTATGTACATGTACATGTAAACTGCCTCATGGTCACAACCTGGAACAGGTTTTTAGCTCCTGGAGTGCCAGCTTTCCAGTGGTTCAGGTAGACTCAAGGTCTTAAGTGTTAAATTTCACAATTGTCAATACATCAGTTCCATTTTTCTATTTAAATTGATAGAGAAGGTGGCATGGATGGAATGAATTGCTGTCTTGTAATAAACTTGAGGTATACCCTCAGTGACCATCCCTAACATGTTGTTCTTAAATGATATGAAATAATGCAGATAGAGTCAGTTCTTTACAGATTTGTCAGTTTTGATCAGAAAGTTAAAAGCTATGGATTAAAGCTGTTTGCAGAAATAGTTTGATAACAGTTCTTCCCATCAAAAGGTACATGTACATGTAGTTTTTCAAGATTTTTTTTTGCGTTGGGGAGATGTTAATTTATATAACGGGTTAGCCCTTACCCAACGAATATATTAATAAACACTGTATGCTCAGTGCTTGTCTGAAAGCTTGCAAAAAAAGTCACAAGCTTACTCGGGTGGGACTCGAATCCACAACCTCCTGCTTACTAGTGCAAACGTCTTAACCACTCGACCACCGAGCTTGCCGGGGTCGGCTGGCTGGTCCGATGAAGCAGCGGGTACCGAGAACTATTTTCAAGATGTATTTTTGCGTTGGGGAGATGTTAATTTATATAACGGGTTTTGCCCTTACCCAACGTATATATTAATAAACACTGTATGCTCAGTGCTTGTCTGAAAGCTTGCGAGTAAGCTTGTGACTTTTTTCGCAAGCTTTCGAACAAGCACTGAGCATAGAGTGTTTATTAATATATACGTTGGGTAAGGGCAAAACCTGTTACATAAATTACATGTAGTTTTGTTCAAATGACTGAATGGGATTTAAGGGTTACCAAAATTGGGGGGGAGGAAATCACAGAAAGTATTCCTTTTTACACTGCCCTTGTAATTCCTGACCCACACGTCTGGACATTGCTTTATTAAGGAATGCTACATGTACATGTACGTCTACATTTAGAATGATCAGTCGTGGGGGTGGAAGAGGGGTGAGGGGCCGGAACAACTGAAAGGTAAGAGAAACGGTACCAGTGTATACCGTTACATGCAAGGACACTTGGGGGCTTAGAAGGAAAACTGTTTGGTTGTGATGTCTGAGTGCATACATTGTAAAATACATGCAACTTTACATATCTTCAATGTTGGTACATATTTTTAGATGTTAGTTACATGACCTCATGGCATTGATATGATTGTTGTAGATCCCCAAACCCAGCTGCTCTTCACAAGATGTTGGAAACTGGAGGGGGGGAGATTACAAGGGTGACTGTTCCTTGGGCACTTTATGTTTTTGTAAAGAAGTTGAAAAATGTCTGTGTAATGAATATTTTAGTTTGAGGTCAGCCAGCACCAAGAAATTATGACTGTTTGTGTAGCATACTACTGTACAGTGGTTAGGAATCGTGTCAAAGTTCAAAATCAATAGTAAGTTAAAAACAAATCTGAAAATGGTCTCTAATCAAGTCAAATTATAGCCATAATTTTTTGATCAAAGGTTGTAAAGAGAGTACAGCAACAAAACTTGTATACATTGCATATTTCCTTTGACCTCGAACTGGCTGTTCAACTGGCAAATGAACATTTCTACACATCTTAGGAGGATTCTAATCCAACTGTGGAGGTACATGTACACTGGGTATATTTACAAACATTTGGGATATTTATAAATTTCATATGCTACCTGGTAGAAGAGTTGTTACAGAGGTACCCAAAAAGCGTCGAATGTTTCAATATCTAGGGTTTTGGAGCTATACATGTAGATTTACCACCCAAAGACAATTGTAGGCTACTTGAATGCCCTCACACCATGATTTGCTCTGATACTGGTAAGTTTTTAAATTAAACTTGTTTATTACTAACATGTTCATGTACATGTATGTACTGCCCTTGTGAGCCCGCATATGTTCTGACCTGTGGAACGTAACTTCAGGTTCTTGGTGGTTTTTGAATCTTTTCATGTGTCACTGCCCCTTAATGGAGAGATCAGATATGCTCAATTGTTCGTGCCTCCAAAGTCTCTGTGCAGCCTGGTCGACTGGGGCCAAAAATGTAATTAAAAATAATAAAATGACATGCGGTGAGGATTTGAGGCAAACTAAATGGTAATTGAAAGTGGGGAATGAACCACTCAGTTGCAGCATCAACAAGACTTGGCAGCCCAGCCAGGGTATGTACATACACCATTCAAGCCTCACTTAGAATTCATTGCATGCAACATATATCAGAGGACTGCATACAAGTACCCTAATTAATGGGCACTTAGTGTGATTGGCCCATTTACATGTACACAGATGAGGGATAACAGCATTCTCAGCAGAAAAAATATATAGAATACAGTGGTTTCCCACGGGACTTTGTAGTAGACAAACTACTTGGAAAGGTGATAAACTTCTGTTTCGAATCCTGACTGGTTCTTCAAAGATGCTGAGACTATATGTTCTAGCCAATCAGCCATCTCATTAGATGTGATTTCAAAGACTGGCTGGGAGACTGTTGGAGTAAAGGTGGGTGTGCCATCATCGTTCCTTTAATTCTTCCTACGTGTTCATGCAGGCATGTTGTGGGTTTCCATTCTTATTGTGGAAGGTCATTTGTTACCAATGTAAATGCACATGTACAGTACAACAGCATGGGGTACTATTTTGTGTTACTACTGTAACTCATCTACAAAATGGGCGTGAAGAATGCAACAAGGTTCATGTGTATAGGACAAGTCTGGCCTGGTTCAGCCACCAAGTCAAGTGGGAAAATCTGGAATTCCCCACAGTCAAAAACCATCTTGGTAACCTAAATCTTGTTTGACCATGCATGTACAAGTTTAGCAATTCTTTGTTTAAACTTCAGAGAAGGAAATAATGGTGTCCTACCCTAGTCGGCTTTGTGTTTATCAGTCCATACTGCACATGTTGTGTATGTGGATACAGGCATACATGTACATGGATGCTATCCTGTCAAGCATTGTTATGACTGACCAGCAAAAATATGCCTCACTTTTCTAGCTTTATGTGCTGCATAGGTAACCCCAGGTCATCCACCTCATTATTTGGTCATGCCTGTTGATATTGTACCCATTTCCCCCCCTCCCCCGAAAAAAACAATAAAATGAAATTAATTAATTAATTTTAAATTGCTGCAGATCTACCAAAGCAGATGCTCAAGTACATGTATAACTGTTACCAAGCATTACCAAATTTCAAAATGACTGGTATCCCGCTTTTATGTAAAACAAGTATACGTTATTAAGTGATTCCCAAACCGTCCTTGGAATGAAAATGGAAAGTACCAGTAATGCTTTCATATGTTCTCAGCTTTGCAATCCAGCTGTTCTGAAATAATCCAGCATGGTATAAAGAAGTAATGCAGCTTTGAAATTGGATACATGTACAATTTATTTCAAAGAAGCTCCAAATATGGTTAGGCCCCCACTGAGGACTGAGTTTTCTTGACCTAATATTTAGTGCAGTTGTTCATAGTGCATACATGTACATGTATATCAGACAGTACACATGTGTATACATGTATAGTACATGTACAGAAAATCAACACTGACACTTGTGCCAGTACTTCAACTTTATATGCTGGTTTTAAATGTGTTTCTCATGACTTATTCAGCCACACATTGTACATGTGTAGCACATTTGTCTATCATTTTATGAATCATAATCGTCAAATGTCTGTGTCGCACACCAGTGACGCTCCATGCTTGCATTTTTTCTTTGTACTAACTTCCTGGTGAACGTGTGTCGCCCATGTGAGACCACTAACTTATTTTATGACTCTGTTACATGGACAGTATGGGTAGTGTGGTGATCTACTGTTGGCTAGCTATGATAGTGCCTGTCAACATGCACATGTGGCCCTGGACTGTTGCACAAAGGCTCTGAATCCACAACTTTGCATAATGCACAACCTGATGTTCTTTCCCCCTTCGTCCTCTCTAGGTGTCTTTTAAAGGTCAAGCAATGTGTGGGGAAGGGGGTCATCCCCCAAGAAGTTTTTGAGTTTTCTTTAGTTTCTGAAAAATGAAATTAGTACTAATATACCGGTATCTACATGTACATCTGATAGAGCCGTTCATCCCAATCTTCTGTGCAACAATGGGAAGCTATTTT